TATGAAGGTCTGGATCCAGGAGCATGTGGACACTGGCGTGGCCCCAGTGGGATGGGGCTGGGTCTGGCCGCAGAGAGCCTTGGGGTGTCTTGAAAGAGAGTCCATGTGATGGGCAAGGTGCAATGTCGTTGCCTCAGAGAGGCCCTGGTGGTGGGTCGCTGGGGCTGGCAGTCTTCCTGAGTCTATCACCCAGCACTGCCCCGCAGAGCGGCTCCTCTCTCGGGCCGACCCTCTCACGCCCTCCCCCCAAGGTCATCATCCTCCAAAATGCATCCTGCACTTCCCAACACTGGCCTTGCCCGAGGACCTCGCCCTCCTGCTTGAGAAAGAGCATCCAGCTGGGACCCGCACCCCAAGCTGAGGCTCTGAGTCTATCCTGTCCCCAAGCCACGCCTCCAAGGCCTAGGGCAGCACTTCCAGTGCCACCCCTTGGTTGTAGGCGGTGACACCCCGGCAGGAGGCCGAGCCAGGGCTGAGGGCAGGGACGGGATTCACACTCAGCCGACAGCCATACCTGAGCCCTGGGCAGGAATGAGGGACTAGTGCTTCCCGTCACAGTAACGGGGACGTCCACCCCAAGCCACGGGCCACGTTGGTGGAGCTGGACTTTCCTTCCTTCAGCTCCCCACTGGAGCTGGCACAGGTCTCGAGAGGCCCCCGCCCTGAAACCTAACCGTCTGTGGAAATTAAACAGCATGCTACACAGCCAACGGGCCAAAGAAAACACTCACAGGAAAATCAGAAAATATCAAAACGAATGACAAAACATGCCCGAATCATGGGACACTGCAACAGCATTGCCTCAAGGGAAATCCGTAGCTGTGACCATGTACGATAAAGGCAGAAAGACCTCAAACTAGTCTAACTTCACACCGTAGGGAGCTAGAAATAAGACGAGCAAAGTGAACTCCCAGCTAGCAGGCGGACAGGAGCGGTGCGGACTGGGGCAGAGGTCGTAAAATAGAGAAGAGGAAACCACACAGGAAATGGATGAACCCCACGTGGGTTCTTTAAAACAGTCCACAAAACTGGCCAACCACTAGCCGGACCGACCGAGAGAGAGAGAGAGAGAGAAGGCTCCTATTATGCTGGACGTCCCGGCCAGAGCGATCATGCAGGAAGAATTAAACTTAAAAGCCATCCAGACGGGACAGGTGTCCCCATATGCTGATGATGGGACCACATACCCACGGAAGGAATCCATAGGAAAGCTCCCAGAGCTCGTGAACAAATTCAGCAAATGTTTAGGACACAAGACCCACACACAAAATTCAGTTGCATTTCTGCCTGTAAGCAACGATCGACCTGAAGATGAGGAGACAGTCCCATTACAGTAGCATAAAAGCAGTCCTTAGGAAAGAAATCTAACCCAGACGGGGCAGGACGTGTGCGCTGGAAGCTGTTGATGTCGCTGGCAAAGATCACACAGACCCGCGGACATGGAGAGCCATCTGTGTTTACGGATCGGATGCTGTTAATGTTACCGTGTCAATGACTCTTCTTGAAGGGATCTGCAGGGTCCAGGCAAGCTCCATCAAAACTCCAGTGGCCATTTTTGCAGAGATGGAAAAACGGATCCTAATGTTCATATGGAATTGCAAGGGACCCTGAATAGATAAAACAATCTTGAAACACGAGAGCCCTCTGTCCCCTCTGCTCCCTGAGCCGGCCCTGACTTGAAGGCAGAGCATCTAACGCCCGGACTTGGGGTCTCAGCCCTGGCGGTCCCTCTGCTGAGTGGGGACCGCCCCCAGGGCTCAGGCAGGAGGGAGAGTCAGGCCCAAAATGTTCTTCCTCTCTAGCGTCCTGTAAAACTTTACGTGAATGTGGTTGCCTTGAAATCTCTAAATGGTCCTGGTTTTCCCCAAAGCGGTGCAGAGGGGGCCTGTGGAGCGAGCGGACAGACCCTGGTGTGGGCCGCAGGGAAAGCGAGGGCCCTGGCAGACCCCTTGCCGCATCTCAGGTCAATGTGAGAAGTGAGACAGTCGGCTTCTTTTTTCTCAAAAAACTGTTCTGAGTTCACACAGAGGGTCCGAACCCACAGCTACTTTCTTTTTATTTCTCATCGGAAAACTGCAGAGCAGGGAGGACACAGGCCTGCCTGCCTGCCGGCCACATACCCAGCTCTGGGCCCCGCCGTGGGTCAGCGGGCCCTGCTGTACTACTCTGCTCAGCGTAGGGCGAGGCCCAGCAGTGCGGAGCCTGGGGGCTCTCCCCTCCCCTGAAGACTCAGGAGCTACATCCCGTGCTGGGAGTGCGGTCGGGGACATGGATACAAGGATGCCTACGGGGGGCCAGTTGGAAGAGCATCGCTGGTAAGGATGCCTGTGGCTGGAGGGCAGATGGCAAGTCCAGGGGGGTGTGGGAGGAAAGACTCTGGCCCCCAGCCTTCAGGGTCCCCACCGCCACCCCCAGGCCAGGCCTGGCCAGAGAAGGCAGTGGAGGAGGGCAGGCCCTCAGCAGAGTCCAGAGCCAGTGTCCCCACTCTCTGGCACCTCATCCTGCCAGAGGGGTCGTCACCTAGGGAGCTGCTGGAATCACACCCCCCGCCCCCCAAGGTCAAGCTTCTGTACCAAAGAAGGGGACATGGAGGGAGAGGTCACAGTGGTTTTCAGACAGGACAGCAGGAACAGCACAGGTCCCAGAGTGACCGGCAGGTGTGACACAGCCAGCTTAGTGCACAGCCACCGAGCCCATGCCCCTCCAGTCCTGGGCCCCCTGAGCCCACAGCCCACGGGACACATGTCCACAGAGCCCGCAGGACATATGCCCATGGAGCCCAGAGCCCACCACGGAGCCCACAGGACACATGCCCATGAGGCCACAGCCCACGGAACACATACCCACGGAGCCTGGAGACCACAGCCCAAGGGACACATGCCCATGAGGTCACAGCCCATGGGGCATGTGCCCACAGAGCCCACAGGACACATGCCCACAGAGCCTGCAGGACACATGCCCATGGAGCCCACGGAGCCCACAGAGCCCACGGGACACATGCCCACAGAGCCCACGGAGCCCACGGGACACATGCCCACAGAGCCCGCAGGACACATGCCCACAGAGCCCACGGGACACATGTCTACAGAGCCTGCAGGACACATGCCCATGGAGCCCACAGAGCCCACAGGACACATGCCCACAGAGCCCACGGAGCCCATGGGACACATGCCCATGGAACCCATGGGACACATGCCCACGGAGCCCACAGCCCACAGGACACATGCCCACAGAACCGCAGGACACATGCCCATGGAGCCCAGAGCCCACAGAATACATGCCCACGGAGCCCACAGGACACATGCCCATGAGGTCACAGCCCACAGGACACAGGCCCATGGAGCCTGGAGCCCATAGCCCACAGGACAGCCCACTGATGAGTTTTAGGTGCACATGCCCATGGAGCCCACAGCCTAAGGAACACATGCCCACAGAGCCCATAGCCCATGGAACACATACCCATGGAGCCCACAGGACACATGCCCATGAGACCACAGCCCACGGAACACATACCCACGGAGCCTGGAGACCACAGCCTGAGGGACACATGCCTATGAAGCCACAGCCCATGGGGCACATGTCCACGGGGCACACAGCCCACGGGACACATGCCCACAGAGCCCACAGCCCACGGGGCACATGCCCACGGAGCCCAGAGCCCACGGGACACATGCCCACAGAGCCCACAGGACACAGACCCACGGAGCCTGGAGCCCACAGCCCACAGGACAGCCCACTGACAAGTTTTAGGTGCACATGCCCATGGAGCCCACAGCTCAAGGGACACATGCCCATGGAGCCCACAGCCCATGGGGCACATGCCCATGGAGCCCACAGCCCATGGGGCACATGCCCATGAGGCTTCCAGCCCACGGGGCACATGTCCACGCACCCCACAGCCCATGGGGCACATGCCCACAGAGCCCATAGCCCTTGGGACACATGCCCCCTGAGGCCCGGGGCCCACTGCTCCCTGGGGCACCTGGGAGTCTGGTTCATTATGTACATGTGACACCATCAGAGAAAAAGCCTCCAGAATATTCTGAGGCCGCCATGTCATTCTTCAAAAAGCCAGGCAGCTTTTCAATCAATGACAGACCAGGACATTCATTCTGAGAGTGATTCGTAAACCCTAGGGAACGGGACCTCCCTGGCAAGAGGAACGAGGTATGGACACCCCGCCTCCCTAGCCCGCGTCAGCAGCGAGCGCCATGGGCCCTGCTAGGTGTGTGGCAAAGGGTTGGCTAGCTCCAGAAACTCAGGGTCAGAAAAACCTCTGGTGGAGGTCACCTTATTTATTAAACAACACAGGGCATTGTTTTATCTGCCTCAAAATGAGTTCTTCTGATGAGTTTTAGGTGCACTGAGGTATTCCCCGATGGCCCTTCAAATTTGGACCTGGACAGAGTTCAGTCCAAGGGGCTGGGTGTCCATGGCCTAGGGCCCAGGGCCCAGGCCACAGCCTAACAGTGGCATCAGCTGCCCCTCACGGGGACCACCTGCCCACCATGAGCCCTCCCAGCTTGACCAAGTAACAGTCTCCAAACCCACCTGCCACCCAGCCTTGAAAGGCCCAGGCCACATGGCCACCTTGGGATTGGCGACTGAGCCACCTCAGTTTCTCCCAGCTAATGAGCAGGTGCCTCAGCTCACTGAGACCCATGAACGAACCGCTGCCAAGGCCGGAGCACGGATCCACCACCCAGAGCTGTCTCCACCGTAGCCCCTTGTGGCGTGGAGCTCAGTCGCACAGAGACGCGCCCAGCAGGCAGAGAGACACACTGGCCCCCTCACCTGTGGCTCCAGCCCCCAGCACACCGCTCTACCCCAGCACCCCGACATCCCATCTCCGGCACCCCACCCTGCCCCCAGTGCCCCGCCCCAACCCTGGCCACCTGTGCAGATTGGCTCGTCCTTGGACCCCAAGTTTCCCTGTGAACCAGTTTGCTAGCCCAGGACCAGTGTGGTGGAGGTGGCCAGGCATGTGTGTGCTCGGGTACCTGAGCAGGGGCTGCTTGGGGTATGGCGGGTGGTCTGCGCTCAGGCACGGTGGGGCCTTCTTGGTCACCTGCTTGTAGATGTTCCTGGCGGTCACCCCGATCCACAGCATGGTGGCCAGTGTGGAGTAATGCAGCAGGATGCCCACCTGCGGGGAGAAGCTGGTCAGCTGCGCCTCCACGGGGCCATCTCCCCCAGCGTGCTGCCCTTGGAGACTGCGAGCTCCCCAGGGCCTGGGTCTGAGCCCTCCCACTCCCTTTGCTTTTTCAGGAGGCAGCTCGGTAGTGACAGGGAATGAGACCAGCAGGAGGGCACGTGGGGTCCCCACTCAGGGCAGATGTCCCCCTTCACGGGGAGGTGTGTGGGCAGCAAAGCTCGTTAGCTTTGCTGTCCTCTGGAGAGATGGTGCTGGGGAGCACACGGGCCTGTGCACACAATACCCCTGGGGCGGTCCACGTGAGGCTGACCACATACGTGCCCCTCAGCAGCATGCCACCGTGCCCACACGTGGGCCTGTGCACATGTGCCTAGGGTCAGCGTGGCCCAGACGTGGGACCCTGAGGGCTCCAGGGAGGACTTCCTCTGGGCTCGGCCCCACACAGGTGTCACCAAGTGAAGGGCGGGGCAGTCCTGCAGCAAGGGGTCTCCCCAGTAGGCTGGTGTTGGGGGGTGTGTATGACATAAAACACCTTCAGGATCAGAGGCTGAAGTCCACTCCCCACAAGGCCGAGTTGCTCATTGCTATCAGCAGCTGCCCAAGTTGTTCCCTGGCTGCACTTATTTCCTTAGCTAATGATGCTTTCCCCTCCTTGGTCTCCACCTGGTTACCTATGAAGCAGTAACCTGACATTTCACAAAGACAAGTAAATTATGGCTGTAATTGGAGAGGGCATAGATGTTTAAGGAATACAGAGATTCTCTGAATAAAGCTAACATTGCATTATAATGATTTATCAAATCCAGAGTTCAATTTTCATTTCTTAGAAAGCTCTAGAATAATCGATGAGGGGCGCCTGGGTGGCTCAGTTGGTTAAGCGACCGCCTTCGGCTCAGGTCATGATCCTGGAGTCCCGGGATCGAGTCCCGCATCGGGCTCCCTGCTCGGCGGGAAGCCTGCTTCTCCCTCTGACCCTCCCCCCTCTCATGCTCTCTCTCTCTATCTCATTCTCTCTCTCAAATAAATAAATAAAACTTAAAAAAAAAAAAGAATAATCGATGAGAACGGGATGGGTGGGTTGGGATCCCCAGAGCTGTCTGTGGTTTCAGGTGGGCTCCCTGCACACACGTGGCAAGCCCAACCTTTTCCTCAGCCTGGCTGGGGAACTGGGGCGCGAGCACCTCTGCACCTGAACCAGAGGGAGAAAGGGGCCACGTCCGCCTCACCCTCTACAGAAGGGTGGCCCGTCTCTCTGTTCGGGGACAGCAGTGTGGCTGCCATCACCGAAGAATAGGAATAGTCGGAAGTCCTTGGAGGAGCTTCGGGGTCGGGGTGGGGGCGCTCGTTCTATTGCTGTCCGGCTGCTCGGAGCCTCGCCTGGACGGTGTTCCGCCTCCCAGACACCCCCTCCAGGCTGGACACAGGGAGAGGTTGTAGGGACCCCGCCCAGGCCGCCAGACAAGGCTGCAGCCATCCTGGGAAGGAGGCAGTCGCCGGCCGTCACACCGCCGACCCAGGGCCAGCGCGGCCGCACATTATCACGCGGGACCACCAGCGGCCGGCTCTTTGTGTTCGTGATGTCACTTAGGACCTTAACGAGACTCCCGGTCATCTTGTTGCCAGAGCAACCATCTGTTCTCCAGCCGACCAGAGCTTTGGGCCACGTGCTGTGCATCATCTTACCCTGAGTCCAAGCCACACCTGGACAGGGGAAGTGGTCCAGGGCGTCCCGTGTTCAGGCGCCAGGGTGGTGGCAAGCTGTCCCTTGTCAGGGCGGGGCAGGCCTGGCTGCCCACCCGGGGAAAACCATGTTTGCTAGGATGAATTGGCTCCTAGAGATGTGGGAGCTGAGACATCTGATATCTGTGGCGGGGAAGCCGGAGGCCCAGGAGAGCTGAGTCCAGGGGCTGGACACCGATGTCCCAGCCTGGACCAGCAGAGAGCATCCCTCCCTCCTCTGCCATTGTCCCTAGGCCCCCAGGGGAGTGGACGAGCCCTACAATGGGGAGGGCACCTGCACACACGCACCCAGAGTGAGGTCTGACCAGATGTTGGCCCCACCACCAGTCACATCAACACATTAAAGCTCACTATCCCATCTTCTGACGCCCCGGCGGTCCAGCTGCGCCTCCTCGGGCCTGCCTCCTCTCCAGCGAGTAGTGGGCAGAGCCGGGCATGCTGGGTGAGCCAGGAGTAGCCTCCGTAATAGTAACTGACGCTCTGTCGGTGTCTGCAAAGCACACGCCTGCGTTCCAGAAATGTTGGGGGAGTCCCAGGGAGAGTGACCCTGAGGGCTGGCTGGCCCCCCATTCCCTCAACCTGGGCCTTAGCTCTGTCCTGTCGAATGCACATGCGGCCCTCTATCCCTCCTTGCCTGCTGGAGAGCAGGACAGCCCAGCCAGGGCTCGAGTGGCTTTGCTCCCTAAGGTGGGTCAGGGCCTGATGCACGCTTGCAAATGAATGAGTGAAGGAGTCATGCCCCTGCCACCTTGTGGAAACACAGTCGGGAGGTCAGGGTTGCACCTACTCCAGAGCTCATCGGCTGGCCCCTCCGACCGGGGGCCTGAGGGTTGTCACCACCAGACAACCAACCATTTCTCACACTAACGTCATCTCTATAGACCTTGCCTCTCTGGACCTGACCAGGCCTGCGCCATCCCTAGGGTGTCTACCCGGCTAACCGGCTGGGCCTCAGATGCCGTGAGGACACCCGGCCTCTAGGAGTCCCCATCGGGCCTGGAGCACGGGCACAGTTCCCGGTTTTCAGGGCAAGCATGCCGGCTTGCCGGTGTCAGGGCTCCAGAGCAGGATCTCACTGCCCGATTCTTCCCGAGGGCCCCCCTGCAGGAGCAGCCTCTCACCCGGGGGGAGTCGTCTGCCATCTGTGCAGGGGACAGGTCATCTTGTAATCAAGGTCAGCGCTGGTGCCCCCGAGTGTCAGGTAATTAGGCCCCCGCGGCTCCCACAGCCATCAATAAATGTTGAATTCACAGAACAAAGGCTGTAAGGGAGCAACATGACAGCCCGTGGACGCCAGGCCAAGAGCTTCGCTCCATGTGGCCCAGGCAGACACACACCCCCAATGGCAGAAACCCAAGAGGTGAGTCCTTGGTAAGATGCTCTTTAGTCCATGGGGCAGCCCCTATCTGGCTCCTGCCTGGGCACTGGAGGGGACCGTGCACCTGGAGGTCACTGTTCATCTGGAGGGGACTGTCCACTCTGGAGGTCACTGTCCATCTGGAGGGGACCGGGCACCTGGAGGTCACTGTTCATCTGGAGGGGACGGTTCACCTGGAGGTCACTGTCCATCTGGAGGGGACTATCCACTCTGGAGGTCACTGTCCATCTGGAGGGGACTGTCCACTCTGGATGTCACTGTCCATCTGGAGGGGACCAGGCACCTGGAGGTCACTGTCCATCTGGACGGGACTGTCCACTCTGGAGGTCACTGTCCATCTGGAGGGGACCGTGCACCCTGGAGGTCACTGTCCATTTGGAGGGGACTGTTTGCCCGGAGATCACTGTCCATCTGGAGGAGACTGTCCACTCTGGACGTCACTGTCCATCTGGAGGGGACTGTCCACCCTGGAGGTCACTGTCCATCTGGAGGGGACTATTCACCTAGGGGTCACTGTCTATCTGGAGGAGACTGTCCACCCTGGAGGCCACTGTTCGCATTGGAGGAAACCACCTGGGTGTCACTGTCCACATAGAGGTCACTGTCCAGCTGGGCTGAGCTGGGGCCATGAATGAGCAGGGGGGCTGGGCAAGGAACTGGAGGAGTGCACGGAGAAACTTGGGTTTGGGGCCTCCTCTCCTGGGCCTGGGCCACACTCGGTAAAACAGGGAACCAGGCTGACCACTGGGGGAAAGGCCTCTTCTGAGCTCTGTCAGAACCAACGGGTATTTCCCCCTTTTTAAAGAAAAGCCAGGTGAGGCCACAGGGAGGGAAGAAGACCCTTTGGCGACTTGTTCTCAATGCTGCGATGCTCTGAAGTCCCTCTTTTACCTGAGAGGGGAGCAGGACCTTCCAGACTGAGGTCGTGAGGTCTGCCGCGGTTCCACGTGGGGGCTGGGACTCTGTGGCCAGGACTCCCTGGCCACCTCCTGGTGCCAGAGCCTTGGCATCAGCAGCTGTGGATCCTTACCTGGCGGGGGTGGGGCAGCAGGTGGCCCCGTCTCTGTGCTCCTGCCCCACCAGTCTCTGTGGGAGGGCAGCCCCCACCCCTATTCCCGGGACCAGCACCGTTTGCCGGACAGTGAACGTCCAGTTAGCTGGTCAAGTGGAAAACAAATTCTCTGACAGGACCCAGTGCTGAGCGAAACAATGGGCCTCACGCCGGGGAGAGGCCGTGATACAGGCGCCCTGGACGTTGAATGGTTCCCTCCGGGAGATGCATCTGGACAAATACCCGGGTGTTGTTTCATAAACAAGACATTGATCACAGATTTCCCCTTTGGAAGCAGGGCAGATAAACACTTCATCTTGTCACAAAACGAGGACATGGGCAGCACTCACCGCCTGGCACAGGATCGGGTACTTGGTGCGGTTAATGCCGCCGGCAAACACTGTGAAGGTCAGAGCCGCGTGGAAGCAGAAATTCAGGAGCGTGTGCCGGCCTTTCCGGCTGATCCGGATGCTGCTACGGGAAATGGAGATTTCCCATCAGGACCTGGCGTGCAGGTGAGCCCCCTTAGCCGAATCCATGCTCTGTCCACCCAGGGACTGAGCGGAAGACCACCAAGGTGTGACTGCGCGGGGTTTGGGGGAGCGCACCCAAAGGACCAGGTGGAGGGACAGACATAGGGGCATGCTCAGTGTGCGTCTGTTGGACGCTTTTGTGTTATATCAATCTGGAATGCTCTGACTGGAAGGGTTTTGAGAAATCTTGAACCTGGTCATTGGCTAGATGCTGACATTGAAGCCCTGAGGCTCTGTGGCTTGTCTGGTCACAGAGACAGAGGGTGGGAGGGACGCCCTGGCCACACCTCCTGGTTCCCAGGACGGGGTTCTTCCCTCTCTGTGCAGATGTCTGGTACTTCGAGAAGAGGGCATGACTGTGGCTGACTGTGAGCAAGACCCTATAGCCTCGTCCCTGGACTAGGATGTTGTCTACGGCTGCGACCATCTCCACTATCGCCATGGCAAGGATTGCTCAGCCCCTCCCCATGACCGTGGCCTTGGACGCGCCCAAGCCTCACCCCGTGACCGTGGCCTTGGACACGCCCAAACCCCCTCCCCCTGACTGTAGTCTTGGACGCGCCCAAGCCTCTTCTCATCACTGTGGTTACGGCCACAGTCTAGGCTTTGCTCATGACTTTGATTCTGGGCTTGACCCTGACCAGGACAGAGACCCCTCCTCACATTTCCCAGTGCATCTGCCAGCGACGCAGACACACCCAGGTCATCCCCTCTTGCAGGCAGAGGTGGCTAGGAAACCAGCTCAGAAGAAAGACGACGACGTCCCCCTCCCCCTGTGATTAAAAGGCACAGTGCGAAGGTGTGTGAGGGTTCCGGCAGCTACCGTTAACGTCCCAGGGATGTGGGCTCTGGGAGCCCCTGGACGGACGCGGGGCCGTTGGAGGAAGAACCTATTCTACCTGACGGATGAGAACACAGAGGCCACTGTGAGAAGACCTGAGGGAGGCCTGCAGGGGAAGGGCGTGGCGTCCCTGAGCCCTTGGCCACGCCCGGCTGCAGCCAGGGCCACCCCGGTGCTGGGCAGGTGGTCTGTGAGGCGCCTTCTGGGGACCTCCTGCTACGTGAGGGTCGGTCTCACGGTGGGGTTCGCGTCTGACGGTGAAAGCGGGCGATCCTGAGGCAAAGTGGGGCCTTACTTCTGGTGCACGACGTAGGTGACGGCAGACGTGAGGAGGCAGAGCAGCAGGACGGCGGTGCACGCATACACCACGGGGTGCAGGAACTCCCCCGGGGACTGGGGCAGGGAGAGGACGGTCTTCAAATCCTGGGAAGAACACAGCAGACCGCGTGAGCAGGAACCATGCCCCTGGCTGCGCTGCCTGGAGCCCCACGTCCGGCCCCTCCCCTGCAAGCTGTCGGGTGTCTGCGGAGTCCCGCAGAGGTCTGTGACGGGCGCCCTGCCTCCCGGGGATGCACCTGTCTGAGGGCCCCAGACGCCACGAGGTCTGCACGGAGCCGTGCAGCGAGCCAGCGACCATAGCAAGTGCCCCCAGCCCCACTTCCCGGCCTCAGGCACACTGAGATTCTGCTCTACAGCATCTCCCAGGAGAATTCCAGGTCACGTCCCTGGAGCCGACTCCAGTCCTGCAGAGAGAGCCGTCGCTCTGATGGGATGTGCGGCCCCGAGGCCCTCTGGGGAGCATCGCAGCCAGGGGCAAAGGCCAGAGGTCAAGGGGGAACGCGTTTCCCACGGGGACGTGAAGCTGAGGGGCCAGGCTCCCGGCTGGACGCGTGAACTGAGGGAGGTTTGTCTTTTTGTCCATCAGACCGGTGAGGGGAGCTCCCGTGGTGTCGGCATACGCATCCTCGAGATTCACCTGTGCTGGGACCGGGTTCCCGAGCCGCCAACAGAAAAGGTGGCGGCAGAACCCAGCGCCACGCGGGCGGGACTCGCACAGCCCGCCGGGCACCCAGCAACCAAGTCTGGTGATTTCTGCACGCTGGAGGAGAGGGCCCCAAGGGTAAGACCCTCCCCTGCTGTGTGGGCGGCAGAAGCACCGACGGGAGCCCTGGCCTTAGGCACCTCTGACCTCTGACCTCTGACAGGCACTGAGCAATGTTCCAGAACCTTCATGTGTTGTAACTCGCCGAGTCACAGCGAAACCCTGCTGTGGACTGAAACCTATCCCTACGATTCAGGGGTTGGAGTCCTTGTGCCCCACGTGACTGCAGTGGGGGCGGGCCTTTATGGGGGTGACTAAGGTCACAAGAGGTCATAGGGTGAGGCCTGGCTCGATAGGACCCACCTCCTTATAAGAGGGAGACTAGGACACAACATGGTTGTGCGCAGAGGGAAGGCCGTTGGGGGACACGGCGAGAAGGCAGCTGTCCACATGTCCAGGAGGGTGTCCTCGGGAGAAACAATCCTGTGACACTTTGACCTTGGGCTTCCAGGCTCCAGGACTGAGAGACAGTTCTGTATTTTAACCTGCTCTGCCTGGGGCGCTGGTTATGGCTGCCCTCCACTCCGGGGTGCTGGTTACGGCCCCCTCTTTCCCCACTCCGCTCCCAGGTGCTGGTTATGGCTCTCCCTCACCTTCCAGGAGCTGGTTCCAGCCCCCCTCCACCCCCCCTGCCCCCAGGAGCTCGTTCCAGCTCCCCTCCACCCCCCACCCCAGGAGCTGGTTATGGCTCTCCCCAACCTTCCGGGTGCTGCTTCCAGCGCCCCCCCACACCAGGTACTGGTTGCGGTCACCATAGCTGATAGATACACCCCATTAGGTGACTGCTCTTGTTCCCACTTTCCAGGTCAGAGGGTGAAACCCTTTCTTGACCTCTCAGCTCATGCTCTGAGCCACTCGCTCTGCTCCCACGGCCGCCAGGACCTGCCCGGCTTGGGGAGGGCGGGTGGGGGCTGGTGCCCACAGAGGGCTGCCTGGGTGTCCCCTGTGAGACCACACTGAGCTGCCCGGCTGTGACACCAGGCTGGTGGTCTGGGGGATGGTCTGCAGCCTTGCCAGCTGTGCCCAAGGCGGATGCACCCCCTCCCCCCGGCGGACACGGGCTCTGGGTCTGTGATGGGCTCCTCCCTGGGCGGTCGGGACAGCGGGAAGCCGCCGGTGCTCCTCCAGGATGGTGTCAGCCTGAGTCATGCGGGAAAAGGACAGAAATGCCCTTGAAGGGCCCTTGGCCTCGCCACGGATGGGAAGGCAGTGTGTCCAAGAGCTCAAGCTGCTTCCTTTCTTGGTGGATCAGTTCTTGTCAGTCCAGCGAAGACGAGGCCCTGGCCAGTCAGGGAATGTCGGATTCCTCAGAGGGACTTCCAGGGACAGCCAAGGGCCACCCTGGTGTCCAGCCGTGGCCTCTGCACCCTGATCTTGCTCTGCCCAGGGACTTTCCAAGGAGACCTCTCTGCTGTCATGTCAACAGCAGATAGAATCCTGTCACCAAGGAAAAGGTGCCGAGTGACCTGGACACCAAGGGACTCCTCCCAGTGTCACCGCTGAAAGACTAGCTGGCTATCAAAGCCAGAAGTATCACCCCTGACCCAGCAGCTGGCCAGATGTAACCAAAGGAGGAGCACATGTCACGTGGTAGACTGTAGGCTGGACCCCATGGGGGCCCCCATACTGTCCTGACCGTCCGCAGGCCAGGAAGCCTGAAGGGCAGGTGTGGACATGCACAGAACACCGACGACTCCCATCCGGATAACTGGGGTTTCAGCAGGACCCACGCTGCGCACGTGGCCCCAACTGCCACGAAATCCTGAGCTCAGGAGCACAGACAGCCAAAGGATGCCAGCTTCAGGGTGACAGGGACACCACGGCTACGGGCCCCCCAGGACAAGTGGGTACAGCTAACTGTGGCCTGGAGCCCCGCCGGCCCGGCCTGCCCCTATCTCTGCACCCGCGCCCAACGGAGGCTTCTCCCCAAGGCACGCATGTCGCCCGGGGCCTTCACGGCCGTGGCAGGCGCCTGCCGGGCCCTCCGTCCTGCAACACGGAAGGCAAGGACAGGTTTCTGTGACGCGGGACACAGCTGTCTGTTGCTGAGAGCCGGGAGGTCACGGCCCAGCTTGTCTGTCTCCCCAGGATGTGCCGGCTGCTGGAAGCGCTCACCCACCCTTCCCTGCCGCCCCAACTTCTGGAGCGCGTCCTGTGGTGCTGGAGAGCTCACCGTCAGCCGATGCCGGCGTCATGACAATTGTCAACCACGGCAAAAGTCTAGGAAAACAAGTTTTCCTGGGCAAGTCCTGATATGTAATTATCTTCTCACCGCCGCTTCTTCTGAAACTGTCTGCTGCCGACAGGTGGAGAGAGGCCCGCCGGCTGTAGGAAGTCAGCGCCCCAGAGATGGCCCAGGCCCTCGTGTGTGTCATTTGTTCTTCTCCCAGAGACAATGGCTTTTAACCTGGAGTCTGAAAACCCTGACACTTTTGACCTGGAGCCCCTGGCTGCTGGGGCAGGGTTCCTGTGCGTGGAGCCCGACTCGGGTTGAGGCCTGGGGTGGGACTCCCAGTTCCTTCATGGCCTTTCTTGGGGTGCTGTCACCGCTCCCCCAAAGGCCCGCGCCTTCCTGCTGGGGGCGGGGGCAGGGGTGGCGGGTAGAGAGGGGCTGGGGAATGACAGCCCGCGCATCCTAAAGCAGAGTCTGCCGTGATGCCTGGCCCCCGTGTCCCTGTGCAGCATCCCAGGGTTGGAGCAGTGTGCCTGGCGCCCAGGACCTGCAGCAGAGAACTCACGCTCAAGGGCATCCTATCTGCCAAGTTTTATCCCCACACCCCAACCCCTTTCTGCTAAGCCAGTGGGAAATCAGACCCCGTTCCTGCCACAGGCAAGCGCATCAGGGTGTTAGCTCAAGACGCAGTGTTTCCTGAGAACGGCGCCCAGGCCAACACATACGGCCGAGGTCACCCCGCTTCAGGGGCGCTTTCTCATCCGAGGGCCCGGTTTTGAGGCCGCGGGGCGGGGGCAGGATGTCTGAGCTCCGGGGCAGTTGTGCCGACAATGTGCGTTTTACAAGAAACAGAGCTTCAATTCCATTTGGCCTCCTATTTTTTTCCTCCAAGTTAGTTATCAACTGTGCGTTTCTACATTTTTAGAGGTGACATTTAAAATTCAAAGTAGGTAATGCAAAAGGGAGATATTATTCTATATTTTAAAGTTCACACGTGTACGAGTTCCTCCTGGAGGAATTTGCAAGCGTCCCACAGATAAGATCCTTGTGACGTGTAGGGCTGCCTCCCTGGGACTGGTCCCTCGAGTGCCCTTGGGACCAGCATGGAGCTCACATCGGAGAGGCTGGGCTCAGTCAAGAACCCATCCTGCTCCTGTGGCCCCCAGCCTGTGATCGCTGCTCACTGCTCTGCCCTACCCTCAAGAAGATGTCTCTCCTCCTGGGAAATCCGGGCTTCCTTCTTCCCACGGGCTGGCCTGGGTTCTCCGTGGAGCCTGGAGGCTGGGCGCTCTCGCCTGTGGTTTGCTTGTATTTTCCCTTTTCTTGAGGCTTAACTTCCTCTTACGTTTCATTATTATTTTAGTTGGATGTATCCTCTTTGGTATGTTCTGCAAATAAATCAACTTGGATGTTAAGAGAGAGAGACAAGAAGAAAGGGGAAGGCGGTATTATGTCAGGTGTCAGTGGTCTGATCAAGACGGGGCCATTTTGCCAGAAGGGGGCGCGTAGGAAAGTGGCCTCTTCCACCCGGGAGATGCAGACCGTCCTCGGCGTCCGCCTCCACCTCTGTTCTGTACCGACTGAGATGGATCTCATTATTAGTCCCCGACGTCCCTTGTCTGTGTTTTTAATGATCATTGCATCTCATCGATCTGTCAGCCTTCCGTGAAAGTGTCCCAGGGGAAAGGCAGAGGCAAAAGGTAAGTAATTTATTCATTCAGAGCACAAATTACCCTAACTGGACATCACATTTGTACAGTTTGTTACATTTTTCTCTTGGCGGGGTGTGCGGGAAATAACACAGGGACTCCTGCTGGCCTGGGGTTACCTGCCTCAGGGGTTAACATTCAGGGGAGCATTGGGGGTGACACAGTCTCCATTTCTGGGATGAAGGTAAGCTCGCAAGATTTTAGAAATTTAAATATGAGGCTGAATGAAGAGTAGCACAGGGGAGAACTGGTGGGGTTCCGGGCGCATGCAGGTTCGTGCAGGTGCCTACAGATGTATGCAAGTCCTTGCAGGTGCTTGTAAGTGCTTGCAGGTGCTTGCGGATGCTTGCAGGTGCTTGTGGGTGCTTGCAGGTGCTTGTGGGTGCGTGTAGGTGCTTGCAGGTGCTTGTAGGTGCTTGCAGGTGCGTGCAGGTGCTTGCGGGTGCTTGCAGGTGCGTGCGGGTGCATGCAGGTGCTTATAGGTACGTGCGTGCAGGTGCTTGTGGGTGCTTGCAGGTGCTTGTGGGTGCTTGCAGGTGCTTGTAGGTGCTTGCAGGTGCTTGTGGGTGCTTGTAGGTGCTTGCAGGTGCTTGTGGGTGCTTGCAGGTGCTTGTGGGTGCTTGCAGGTGCTTGTAGGTGCTTGCGGGTGCGTGCGGGTGCATGCAGGTGCTTGTAGGTGCTTGCAGGTGCTTGTGGGTGCTTGCAGGTGCTGCAGGTGCATGCAGGTGCTTGCGGGTGCTTGCAGGTGCTTGTGGGTGCTTGCAGGTGCTTGTAGGTGCTTGCGGGTGCTTGCAGGTGCTTGTGGGTGCTTGCAGGTGCGTGCAGGTGCATGCAGGTGCTTGTGGGTGCTTGCAGGTGCGTGCGGGTGCTTGTGGGTGCTTGCAGGTGCATGCAGGTGCTTGTGGGTGCGTGCAGGTGCTTGCAGGTGCTTGTAGGTGCATGCAGGTGCGTGCAGGTGCTTGTAGGTGCCACAGACACCTTGTGTGGCCCGCTGGGGTTGTCAGGGCGCAGCCTAGATGAGCTGTGGCGTGCACACAGGTCAGGCCGGGTCCTCACCGGCTCAGGTGCGGTCTCCCTGACCCCTGCCTGCTCAGCAGGGCAGCAGGCACCACCAGGCTTCCACATCGCCACCCTGCATCTACCCCTGTTCTTTTCAGGGGTTTTAAATCCACTGTTGCCTTTTTAATGTGGGATGCTTATGTGCAGAAAAGGGGTGTCCTGAGCATGCTGTGTCTTTGGGATCCTTCATTCCAAGCACAACAGAGTAGGCCTTGCCTTTTACCCTGTCCCAGCTTCCAACCCCTGCTGGATGTGGCAAAGGATAGTCTTCACTGACACTGAGGTCAGCCCCGAGTTCAGAGCGAGTGGGGGCTCTGCGGGGTTCTTGGCTGCTGCTGGCACCTGCTGGCTCTGGGCCACATCAAAGAGAAGCCCCCAAAGTGGGGTCTCTCCCTCTCGGGTTCAACATTAGCAAGCAGGCAGTCTTTTCCTCTCAGATCCGCTTGATGTCCCAATGATCAAAGGAGTCCCGCCACGCCTCGTCAGCCACGGGAGCTGTGGCTGGGAAGACAGCGCTTGTGCAGAATGAACGTGGCCTCCCTCACAGTGACCACACTGCTCCTCAGGCGAACCACTAGACCTATGCTCTGAAAGGAAACAGGGAGAATGTGCACAACTTTGGACAACTTCTTAGTCTCTTCCAATGCCTGTCACTGCGTTCCCTTGGGGAGGTAAGTGTGAAGATCCCGGAAGATCATGGAGCGCAAAGGAACACACGTTTTGGTCGCTGCTTGAATTCGAACACTAACAGGGCCACCGCACATACATGTCCACTTTTGTTTGCTAACAGCGGTGATGGTGGCCTGGGTTCTGCAGGCCCCGCAGGGGAGTATCTGGCTCTGTGTGCATTCACGGTCAGAGCGCCGAGGGCAGGTGGGGCGCACGTCCAGAAGGGAGGACAGGGGCCTCAGTGCAACCCGAGGGTCAGCATGGCCCCAGACCTGCCTCCAGGAGACCGTGTGTCATCACACTCAGGAGCCAGAAGGCTGGCTGCCGACCTCAGGTGTCAGGGAAGCCGACCGCCAGCCCACGGCAGGTGCCTCGTGGGTGGTGTGAGTGTGGCAGGGTGGGGTGGGCAGGTCCGGGCCACCCTGCTGGCCACAGCCTCTGGTCTTTGCCCTTGCATTGCCTGGGCCCCTGGGGTATAGCCACCCGGGCGTCCACCCGGGCGTCTACATGACAGACTCAGGGATGCACGCGGAGAAGTGCTTGCCCCAGAGCTGCTCCAGAGGGGGCTGGGTCTACGTTTCTTTTGGAGACTCTCCAGTGAACATGTTATTTGTCAAGAATAAAAAACCAACAAACTGCTGAGATTCTAAACCCTCTGGGCAGCGTAACCCACCAGTCTTCACGGTCCTGGACTGGGCCAGTGTCCAGTGGCTGGGAATAGGGGCAGCGCTGCATGTGGACGCAGTGGTCGGGGATGGGATGCAGGGCAGATCTGCTTGGAAGGGCCAGGGTCAGATAGGAAGAGGCACCTGGGCCGCCGGCTTAGGCACAGGGGTCCCGCCCCTGCCCCCAGCCTTCCGCAGCATCTCCTGGTTCACCCTCTGTCTGCTGACAACAGGTTCCCTTTGCAAACAAGGCTCTAACCTGAGGATGAAAACCCGAGAAACAGGCTGACCTAGAGGCCCCAGGCATGTCGGGCAAGACACCTCGGGGCCACAGGAGGTCCCTTAAGAAGCCAGGGGCCTGTCCAGGCTGGCAGCCTCCCGAGGAGCAGCCTGGATGCACAACCTCTAGGGCATCTGGCACCCTCCTGGCCAGTGAGGCTTGGAGCAGAGGTGTGGACGATGCTGAGTCTTGGCAACAAATACCGACCTTGTTTGGGCGTCTTGAACAGAACAGGAAGGAAACCAACAAGTGACTCAGACAGACCCCCCCTTGGGGAGCAGACATCGGGTGTGCATTTGACTCATTGCTGGTGTCCGAGCCAGGGCTGCTGCCGGCCACGTGTCCTGGGGCCATTGGCATTCCCTGCACGCGCTCCGGGCCCTCCGCTGCCTCGCACACACAATGCATTATTTACTCGGCCACCAGCCTTCCCGGAATCCAAGCCGGCAGCAACCACGCGAAGCGGCACGAGCCTTCACACCAAGTCCCCGTTAGGGACGGCTTGCCGCTGACAGCCGCCCTGCCCCCCTTTCTGGTGAGAGAACCGTCCTCCCCGTGTCTGCTGTACGTGCCGCCGAAGCCCCCCACGTCTCCCTGCCGTTCAGCCAACTTTCTGAGGGGAAGGGGCTGGTGGGGCTGCAGTGGGAAGGCCACATGACTGCCTCGGACCAGAGGGGCGGGGACTCCTGCCAGGGGCCAGAGGAGGTCTCACGGGTCCTGGACCTGAGCCCTGGGGAGGGACGCAGGACAGCGTCTCCTCCCCTGATTACATGGCTCCACATTGCGGCACGCCTGCTAATTAGTAAGATCCTCAGCCGAGCGGCCAGCTGGCAGCCGTGGAGACCAGGGGCCCAACGCTGCTAACTGACCACATGGTCACCCCAAGAACAGGGGTGGCCGCCCTCAGCGTGGCTGGGCCCTGCTGCCCGGTGGGGGCACGTACTCACCATGAGCCCTGCCAAGCTCCTGCAGTGTGAGTGCCAGACGGAGTGGGGTCGCCGCCGAGCCGATTATGTGGCACCCTCTTCCCCACCAGCCTCCATGGCTGTCCCGAAGGTCAAGGTCCCACACAGCAGCTGTGGGGTCGAGCCCCGGGCCAGGTGCCTCAGGGCGACGGTGGGGCAGGTGGGGGTCAAGAGTCTGTCCCCATCTGTGAAGACAGGGCAGGGTCAGGGCAGGGTGGAGGGTCCCCTGGCCTCAGCCCGGGGCTGGCCCTACGTGGCCATCCACCCGGCCAGCCTGTTGGAGCGTCTGGCTTGGAGCTTGGTCGCCCAGGGCACACAGAGGCTGTGTGCTGGCCTGGGGACCTCGAGCGGGACGTGCGGAGCCCGACGCTGCCCTCCTGGGAGCACTGCCTTCTCCCCACTGGCCACCCGGCGCGAGCAGCTCAGCCCAGCGTTCTGGCTGCTCAGAGCCCTGCAACATGTCTGTCAGGTTCCGTCAGGAGCACCGAGCAGACCTTGGATCCCCCTCCTAAGGAGCAGCCCGAGCGGGGCCGGCAGACGCGGGAGCCGCTGTGGCCCCCCAGATGCCCCCCTCGGGCCGTGGCTGCATGCCCCCCGTGGCGCCCAAAGTTATTCGGCATCTGCATCCGGAACGGCACCCAGGGCAGCAGGAACCGCCCCAGCCGGGCTGGCACGCGGGCCGAGGGGCTGGGGGCACGGATGGATGCTGCGGCCGCGGGCTCCCACCTCGCCCGCCACGTCCTGCGGCTCCCTGCCGGGGCCCACCCGCCGCGCGGCCCCGGAGAGACGCAGCTCAACTTCTCACCTATTTTGGCAAAAGCTGCGGGAGCGGCAGCGCCGTGGTCCGCGGTGCCGACCAGGTGTGGTGCATTCTCCGGCCCCGGGGACGGGTTTCCATGCCGAGAGGCAGCGGGCTGGAGCCAGCAAGTGGAGTTATCAACAGATTGCAGGACCGCAGCCTGGCCGTGGCGACTTGGGCTCCGCACCGGAGGGGATGAGTCAGAGCCAGGACCGGCAGACATTCGATGCGATCCTCAGGAGGCGGCTTCCCGAAGTCGGCGTGGGGACTGTGAGCCGCCTCTGCGCCTGCTTGGAGGGCGGGCGACAGCCGGGGGACGAGGACCGGGCCGGGAAGCAGGAACCGTAACCATGGGGATGGGGGAGGCGCTGATGGCGGCGGCGGGCGGGCACTGGGGCCCGGCTCCCTGCGGCAGGGCGGGAATGGTTCTTCCCAGCCAGCCAGCCGGCCGAGCGGCCGGCACACCGCAGAGCCGATTTAAAGAGACAACCGGCCAGGTTTTGCCTCCGCTTCCAACAGAATCAGACAACTCACATTAAAACATCTCCCTGAAAGGAGGTGGAAGGAGGACCGGATGGTTTTATTTTATTTATTTTTAAGGGAAATCCGTGTCTGTTGAGGGCTCCAGGCACAGAAATGGGAGCAAGAAAATTGATTTCAGAGGAATTTTCATGGGCCTTATAATACAATATTCTCAAATGCAAATTGCCCACCCCAAGGGGAGCCCACATGCGTCTGTCCCAGCGTGAGCCAGCAGGGAGATCCTGCGGGTGGGGATGGGCTGGGGCCATGCAGAGAGAGCCCCTGCCCCCATCCAGGGTCCCGGCCCCTGGCCCGGTGACGGGCCAGGTGCCGAGAAGGGAGGTGAGGGGTGAAGGGCAGGCAGGGACCCAGGGCTGGGGGTGGGCTGCCGGGCCAGCAGGACCCCTGCCAGGACTTCTAGCTCTGTGCCCCCAGGAAGGTGTGGCTGGGGGCCTGGGGACCATGCTCAGCACTCAGGAGCCCCTGGGGAGACCCACGCTCTTCCCTCTGGGCTGGAAGGTCCTGGCACTGGTTCCTGCTTCGGAGAGTCTCCAGATTCTGGGGGGTCTGGGCCTGGACTCTGGGGGCATCATTAAGAAGGAAGCATTAATGGGGGGTTCTGCAGGCCTGGCTTTCTCACCCGTGGCACCTCGCCTCTGAGACGGGTGTTCCTGGTGCTTTTCTGGGGGCCGCTGTGAGGAGCCCTGGGCTTTCGGCAGGGGCTGTGAAACCAGAGGGTGGAGTGATTTTCCGATTGCCCAGAGAGTGGGTGTCAGTGGGCATCCCCCCTCAGGCCCCAACCCACTCTGGCTTCCTGGGATTGCTCCCCCAGGGGAGAGGGCCCTGGCTGGTGATTCTGGATGAGTACGGCAAGGAGGAAGGCAGGAAGGCCCACTGTGAACTCAGAGTTCTGCCCAGACTCCTCCAAGCTGGGGTGGCCCCAGGGGGCTTGTCCACTTGCAGTTCCCTCCATAAAGACTCCACATGAACACAGGTCAGGTCCTCGCCACCATCTAGGGGCTCCCAGCCCAGAGATGACAGAAGGACAGATGCCCGGGGCGGTGGGAAGGGCACGGAGGAGGGGTTTTGCTGGTGGCCCCCGGCATCCTGCAGTCACCAGCAGTGTCTTGCTCTGTGCACAATCCTGTGTGGTGTCCCAAAGAGCCTGTGATCTGCCCTGGCTTCAGAACAGGGTTTGTAGGGCCCGAACCGGGGCTTCTTCAATCCCGGAAAGGTGGCTTTCTGGGAGGCAGAGGGTGGGGGCCGGCCTGGCCCTGGAGGTCCCGGAGGAGCCCCTCTAGCCAGCACCTTGGGTGCTTCGGGGGCCCTGGAGAGGCACATCCAGAACCTGAACTCTGTGGCCTGGACCCAGTGGGGGCTGCACCCAGAATCCCAGTGTTGACCCTGGTGAAGGTGTGGGGGGTCCCTTTGGAATTGCTGGGCTGTTGGGGGAGCCATGTGTGAGGGCCTCTGGCTTTGAGAGGGGCGGGGTGCCCCTGCCCACCCACAGCCACCCTACCAATGCCCCTGCGTCTCCGGGTGCCCTGGCCTCGTGACTGCCCACGGAAGGGCATCTGCTACAGACCTGGGCTGCTGGGTCTGGAGGGGGCTGGGGATGTCGCTGTCCCCTTGCACACGGCCAGCAATGCTCTGCATGCCGCATGGAGCCGAACGCCTGTGAGATGGGGAAACAGAGGTGTGAGCAGTCGGGCGCCCTTGGCTGCTGGGTTGTGGCGCCTGCCTGGTCCCACCTGGAGGGCCGGAGACGGGGTGGGTCCAGGGCTCAGTGTGACCGGCCATTGTGGAGAGCCTCAGATCTTCTCTCTAATGAGACAATACCTTCAGCCTGGAGAACCAGGAGGGACCCCACTTGATATGACTGTACTCTGGAAGTCACAGGCGCTGTGCTTTGTAGGGGGACGTGCCCTCACATTGTGCCCATGGCCTCAGGGTGACTTTGCCCAGGTGAGCCTCAGGCCCCTTCACCCTGAGCCTGCTCTCGTAGGTGAGCGGAGTTTGGGGCTGGCCACGAGGGATGGTTGTCCCATACCCTCGTCCCTCCCAGTGCACCAAAATCTCATCTTCTGAACAAAACAAGTCATCCCTGGATGCGGGCCCTCTGACGGTGCCGAGAACTTGTGCCCCTCACCTGCTATGGGCCGTCTTAGTTCAGTCCAGGACGAGCCTTGCTGTAGGTGGGGATCCCTCCCACACTGAGTCTCCGCTTCCTGCAGGAAGGCCACTATTCTGGCACATTCTGCGTGGTTCTGCCCTCTGTCCATGGGGGAGGCCACGTTGATCTCTGGACATCCAGCCCTGACCTCCTATCAGATGCCTGAGCAATTCACTCAACTGAGCGTGGTTTCTTCCCTCTGGGGAAAGTTTCTTCTTCTTCTTCTTCTTCTTTTTTTAATATTTTATTTATTTATTTGACAGAGAGACTCAGCGGGAGAGGGAACACAAGCAGGGGGAGTGGGAGAGGGAGAAGCAGGCTTCCCGCTGACCAGGGAGCCCGATGTGGGGCTCAATCCCAGGACACTGGGATCATGACCTGAGCCGAAGGCAGACGCTTAATGACTGAGCTGCCCAGGCGCCCCGGGAAAGTTGCTTCTGACGCAGAGGTGGGTGGCTGGTGCTTTCTGCGCGGGGCGGCCGGACGGCCTGCTCAGGCGCCACATGGGGCTTGCAGCGTGGGTCTGCCTTGTCGGGGAGGGAGGCTTGTGGGGGCTGAGCCCACCCTGCTGCTCGGGAATGAGCTGGCTCACTGCTCCCACCATGCTGAACGGCCAGTGTCCTAGGAACCCCCAGGGCACGTGTTTGGGGTTCGGGGTGTCTCTGCACCTGCTGGGAACCCACAGGCGTTTGTGGAAGAAGAGGAAACAGTCCGGGGGAGGGTGGTGGGACGGCGTCCAGATCGGTCTCAGTGTGGCTGGAATCAAAGACCTGACCGGTGGCCTGGGGAGGTCAGTGGCGACAGAGCTGGCACAATGGGGCTCAGGGAACGCAGGGGCCGCCTTCCCTCTCTCCATAGTGAACGTCCAGCCCCCACGCTGACGCTTGCTAAAAATACGAGGTCGCTGGGTTGAGACTGGCTCCGGGGACTGACGTCTCAGGCCGGACTCGCCTCTCCTGAGAGCAGGGGCCCTGGGAGGGCGCAGGCGGAGGCCCTGGGACACTGGGGACAGCATTTCTGGGCACGAGCGCGGCCTGACCCCGGAGGGCACAGGACATGCTTTCAGCAGGGTCTCTCAGTGCACTTAGCCTCCAAGGCTCGCAGAACGGAATTAAAACCGGCTCTCCCGTTGCCGTGCCAACCAGCCCCCACCCCCCCAGGCGTCAGTTTGAATTTGTGCAGACCATTTCTAACAAAGATTTGCCTCCACTGATTCATTTTGCCCTGAAGTGAAGCCTAGTCTGAGACCAAACAGTAAAATTAACAAACTTGTCAGGCCCCCAGGAGGACCTAGGCCACTGTCCAAGGCCACGGGGAGGCCGTGGGGCGTTTGTCGTCGGCAGGTCCCGGAGGAACGAGGGCCTAGGCGAGTTTCAGCTCTGAAAGGTGTCCTTAGGGTTTGAATCCATGTGTGTCTGCGCTCAAGGGTTGGGGGGCAGCCTGAGCAGGCCCACCTTGGGCTCTTCGGGCCATGGGTGAGCGGAGCCCTTGGTGTCTGAGTGCCGGTGGGCAGATGGCCCACTCAGGAGAGGGGGTGTGGGTGGAAGCTCTGTCCCTGCTGGGGGCATGCGGGTGCCAGTTTGCCTGGAGGAGGCTCGTATACAGAGGAAGAATGGCTGGGATGCTGTTTGGGACCAGATGGGGAGGGCGGGTGTGTGAGGAAGTCTTGCTGGGTCTGTGGCACTGGGGAGTCATGGTGGGTGTCAGGGGGAGAGAGCAGCCCTTAGCCGCACAGGAATGCTGGGTGTGCCGGGGCTTTGCTCCCACTCCTGGGGCAGAGTTGCTGCCTCTCAGCTCCTCTGAGGCCCTCCCGCCTGGCCCTGCTGCCCTCCGCGCACCACCAGCCCACATGGTCCATCCGCTAGCCCGTCAGAGAAGGACTGAGCTTCCCTCGGAACCTGTAAACAGTCTCAAGGCACAGACCAGCACGCAATCTGCTCTCCACAGGTTCTCTGTGACTGGTGACCCCAGCCACGCATTGTCACCCCCAAGGGCCCTGGGCCACACAGACACGCACGTGGACATGCACACGGTCACTCCTGGGCCGGCATGGTGAGGCTGGATGCCCCACATGGAGTTGGGTTCAACAAACCAGGCGGACCCATCAGTGCCTGGGGCAGGGCACAGAGCCGAGGTGCAGCCCCCCACGCAGCAGCCATGCTGGGCAGCACCCGGGGTGCAGGTAGTGACCGGGCGGTGAGAGTCAAGGTGACTCCCAAACACAGCCCCCCACACATCCCGGGCCTGAGAGGTGGCCTGGACCTCCAGCCACAGAGGGGCGAGGCACACACTGCTGTGGGCACGCCACACGGGACCGCGTCTTCACTGGGGTGGATGCGGCCCCTCCGTGGCCGGTGTCCACTGGGGGGGCTGCAGAGCATGCAGCCCGGCTCTGGCTTCATGGAGAGGAGAGCGGCGCGTCGTGGAGAGGAGAGCGGCGCGTCTCCTGCACACAACTTCTTCCAGACCTGGACGTAACGTGAGTCCTTGGGAGGTGGGTCAGCAGGCAGCTCTCTCACCCAGGGCCTCCTGCTTGACCTTTCCTTGGTCGCACCCCTGCTTCTTGCCCAGCGGGCAGTGAGGCTGTGCTCGGATTGAGACAGAAGCATGAACGCCCAGTGGTTCGATGGTTTTACCTCAGGACTAGTCCAGTTTCCAGACCTGAACAATTAACCCAAAGTTGATGTTTCCTGAAGGCTTTGGGCCTGCTGGGATGGTAACCAGTGTCCT